CGGCCCACAACTCGCGGGTGATCCTTGCAAGCCTACCACGCGAACCGACGATAACCAGACCGAAGGCCGGCACCCTGGCATCCAAAGTGACCACTGCCAATGACATGACGTCGTGGAAATTCCGCAAGCCAACCTCACCGGACGCCATGTGCAGCTGAGTTCTGCTGTCTCCTCTCCCGTCGCCCCAAGTCCAGCAACCATCTAATGTTAGGTTGTCCACCCAACCGAAGAGCTGCCACAACAGAAATTCCGCCACCCGCCGCACATTTGCAGCCACGTCAATGCTTTGATCTGACGGGCATTGGTACAAGGTCCAGCGGCAAGGCATGGGGCTCGAAATTCAAAAGTACACTCCTGCGCCGTGCGCTAGGAGGTCAGTCCTCGAGCCTTTGTGAAATCTGCAGGGATCCACTTAAAAAAAGATGTCTTGGCGCACATGTCAGTGAATGCGGTCCGAAGCTAACTTCTGACACCTGTGGAACGTCGAACAAACGAAACAACATCTCAACAGCAGGCGCTGCAAGAGTTCTCGCCTGCATGTGGGCGCAGCTAGCCAGAAACTACAGCGTGTGCCTCGCACCGGCTCGGGCGCAACGGTTTCAGATCTTGACAGATGTTGCAGAGTCTTGACACATGTTATCCAGTCTGCCATCCGTGCTATTTGCCTGAAAACCAGCAATAGCCAAAATGAGAAAACACCCCTGGCAACCCGTTCAGCAATCAACAAACAAAGAAACAATCTTTCTCCTGCGCCCTGCACTATAGGAGTTATGAAGGACCAAGCCCAACCAGAGCAGCTGATTCTCTTGGAAAGACGCTCCATGTAGTGAGACTCCAGGCCATGATAGCTAAGCACTTCTTAATTTGCTGTGGTCATGGGGATCACGCTATCAGATCTCACCAGCCTTGCCATGCCTCTGCAGGCTGGCACACCTGGCTCAGGCGGCACTGGGTGTGGCAATCAAATGGCCGTACCAAATGCCAATGGCATCAGATGGGAGAATGACCTCCCAAAACGCTGCACCTGCGCAGTGAAATGACCTCTCACTTTCCCTCACCCTTCAAGATGTCACGCTTCTGCGGTATTTCACACGAATCTGACACTTGGGCCTTCCATGTAAAACTTCCTCCAAGAGCTTCCCCCAAAGGCAGGGCCTTTTGCCACTCACGCAAACGGTTGCGGACGGTTGCGGACGGCTGCGAACACAAACGCAACTTTTGGCGAACACACCTCCACCCAGACCCCCACTATAAACGAGAACCCTTGCTACGCATTCGGGAAAAAGACATGTCTTCCAAGGTTGAAGAACCCGCTATAAGGTTCAGCGGCAAGGCATGGGGCTCGAAATTCAAAAGTACACTCCTGCGCCGTGCGCTAGGAGGTCAGTCCTCGAGCCTTTGTGGAATCTGCAGGGATCCACTTAAAAAAAGATGTCCTGGCGCACATGTCAGTGAATGCGGTCCGAAGCTAACTTCTGACACCTCTGGAACGTCGAACAAACGAAACAACATCTCAGCAGCAGGCGCTGCAAGAGTTCTCGCCTGCGTGTGGGCGCAGCTAGCCAGAAAGTACAGCGTGTGCCTCGCACCGGCTCGGGTAAGGTCCAATTGCAAGGTCCAGGGTGATGGGAGTCGCACAAAGACTAAGCTGAAATTGGGTAAGCAAACACGCGGAAGAAAACGGGGGTGTTGGTTACCAAGGAGTGGAACAACCATGCTCACCATCTGTTTGGCAAAGCACACATGTTGGGCCCCCCAAAAGTTACAAGATTGTGCAAACATCTTGATAGACCAATGCCCCCCTCACCCCCGCCTAGGGATCCAAGTACCTCCTTAGAAGGTGAGCCAGGGGTGGTTTTCCAATGGTCTAAGATGGTCGTTTCGTACCTTCTGAGGAGCTACGAACGGATCCCTAGGGAATGTGTTACAACTGAACCAGCCCAGTCGCAGATCCAGCCAGGTCCCAGGCAGAAACAGACCGATGGCCGGCAGAACTGCCCGGCCACGATTTGAGACCTCATTGAAGAGGCGATCTTAGGCAGCCTTCCCAAGCCGTTATTTTAGACATGGCGAAGAATTTCTTCCTCCACCGGTTTCATGGGTGAAGAAACCATTTTCTCCCAAACGACTCAAACTGAATCGATTGGCTAGAGTGGACCTCTCCAGTCTGCAATCTCCCGCAGGTGGACCATGTCATGTACTTGACCGGTGGGGAATTAAGGACTAAAGGACTCCTTAAGTGGGCGACTGCCCCGCAATGGCCCGGCCCGCCCGGACCGGACGATCCATGATTTGGGAAGGCCAATATGGACACATTTAGTGTAACTACATAGAATCCAGATGATTCCAGTACATTCAGGTGTCATCTGATGACATTCAGGTCCCACGACAGGGTCTCTTATCAACCTATTCTTGTGGGTCCTAGTTACCTGCCGTTACCTCAACAATCCGTGTATTCCACAGCTAGCCTGCAGACCTCCGGGTCGCGCAAAACCACAAAGGGCCAAACCACGGCCTTGAGCTCCCGCACGTGGGGTGGGAGCCAAGCGCGACCTGTGAAAGCTTTTCAGAGTTCTGAAAACATGGCAGGGATGGAAGACCTGTCTCAAGAGTGTGATTTGGGTGAGAAAGCCATCCCCAACATCATGCTTGACTGGTCAGTAAGGGGTGATCAGTGTCAAGTCATGTGGTGGGCTGGTTTGGGACTTGGAGAACCAACATCAGCAAATCAGACCGCAAATCAGTAAATCCCAAGTAATTGCCAGTCTGCAGGAGATAGATTCTGGCGCTTATTTTCTTCTCTCGTACTCAAAAAGATCAGTCGTGGAACTTCTTTGCCAACCACATGCTATGGTCAACCGTAACCTGTTTTAAGTTTTACGTGTATCAAAAAGGTTTGGTCTCCCAAAGACAAAGATTACCCCTCAAACTTCAAACCCTTCTGTGTAGAAAAATCGAAACCTTCAGCCAGCCAACCGAAGAAGTCATGACTGGGCAAAGGCCGGACCAGGCAAATCTGTAGGCTTCCCTCAAAAGGAGAGACATTGGCCCAACAAGCTCTAAGCGTTGAAAGGCCAATCAAAAGGTCGGACCACCACACTGCTTTTTGGTGGTTTGGCCGCGGTATTTTTGGGGCTGAGTTTCAAGTTTCAAAACGCTTTCAAAACCCGGTCCCCCAAAACCGGGTCCCCCATCTCGGTTTCTTTTTGAACAACCGGCGGACAAACCCGCCTGCAAGGCCAAGGCAATCCATTCTACCACGGATCCCAAATGCTGCGGGGTTGGAAAAATGAGGCTTTGTCACATGTCCTGCTGCAAAAAAACAAGATGAAGCCCACGAACCTGAATGCAGACACGTTCCTAGAAGAATCAAGTAGACTAGACTCGCACTTTTTTTGTTTAAATTTACGTAAGATGGTAAGGACATTGGGACGCCACTCTTGGAGGGTGCCTTTGGGAAGACACTCTTGAGGGCCACTCTGGTATGAGACTCTTGGAAGACGCTTTTGTGAGACACTCTTGGAGGACACTTTGGGAAGACACTCTTACATGACACGCTCTTGTGAGACACTCATGTAAGGCACTCTTGGGGAACAGTTTGGGAAGACACTCTTGGAGGACAATTCGGGGAGACACACTTAAAGAGACACTCTTGTGAGACACTCTTGGAGGACACTTTGGCCAGACACTCTTGGAAAGACGCTCTTGGAAGACACCCTTGTGAGACACTCTTGAAGGACAGTTTGGACAGACACACTTGTGAGACACTTTGGCAAAACACTCTTGTGAGACACTTTGGGAAGACACTCTTGTGGGACACTCTTGTGAGACACTTTGAAAAGACACTCTTTGGGAAGGCACTCTTGTGGGACAAGGACACTTTGGAAAGACATTCTTACATGACACAGTCTTGTGAGACACTCTTGTAAAGAAACTCTAGTGGAACAGTTTGGGGAGATACTCTTGGAGGACACTTTGGGAAGACACCCTTGGAAGACACTCTTGTGAGACACTCTTGGAGGACACTTTGGGAAGACACGCTTAAAGAGATACTCTTACACTCAGAGTACTACACTTGTACTATAGAAACTGACCAGTTCCGAGCGTGGAGACCTACTTTGCACAGCCCTGACGAGACGATTCGCCCTTCGAGCCACTCAGCAGCAAACACTGTAGCACGCCAATCCCACTGTGACAGCGACATTCACCCACCAACACCAAACGTCGCAACCTCAAAATTCCTTGCGCCTGCCACGAAAAATGCACACAAATACACAACGTCAAAACGCAACTCCCACTGTCACAGCCACAAATAGCGAAGCTTTCCGAGTGACGGCAAATCCTAACTTAGCCAAA